ATACGCCTCAGGACATCAGAACTCCGTTTATTAAAATAATTGCAATAAAATTCTAAACCCAGATCGATAATTTCAATAAGTGATTGACAACAGGTGACAATCGGCCTTACAGAGAGAGAGAGAGGAAGCCTATTGGAGGCATGCCAGAGTCGATATAAGGTGTATGTTAACCCTGCTGTATGTAGCAGGGCTTACTTGAATCTATACCACGGATTGAGCTGATTTACTCAAACCATATCACAGAGCACTTCTCAGCTGAGAGTCCAAAGTCATCTGGGAATTCATCAGTTTTTGTTCATATTGTTCCGTAATTGGCTCAAAGAATTCGCGCTACCTTCTTGACCAATCAGATGCAATCAGATGCATGTCAATTGCGACTTAATAACTCGCGTTTTCGCGCGCTTCAGGCAGTTTGCTTGTTTTCCTTTGAAAACGCATTGACTCCTTGTGATACTAATCTTCGTTATGACTGACTGTTGTGATGACTTTGGTCAGTTTTGGTTCCACCTGACACTCAATCGAAATGCGTTCCATTACACTGGTATGCAATGCTTGCGTTACTCAATCTATGGCAACCTACTTCTTATAACGATATAGCACCTCATACTGCACTTTAAATCGGCTACATTCTCAAATTGAATTCAATTAAATTACATGATTTCACTCTAGGCGGCTGATATTTCCTTCACAATTTCCATACACTCACATCATTTTTTTGGAATTATTTCAATTCATTTTCTGTTGATTAAGCATCATGGCTAGGAAGCCCGTCATTTTGTTATCTCATAAGTCAACTTTGAAAGTTGAGAAATTTTCTAAATGAGGATTGCTATTACATAAAAAAACGATGGAATTGGATTGTGTGCGACATTTTTCATGGTTTTTCCATCTCACTAGAATCGTCTGGCCAAAAAAAATAATATTAAAAAAAACAATTATTGTCTCAAACAAAACGGGTTGGTTGATTGATCATTACAGTATTAGGAAGATTTACAGCATTAAAAATAATGTATTTGATTGAAAACAACAAATTGAAAACGTCTTGAAGGAAAAAATTCCGGAGAGCTCTGTCTGGCCTATTTTTGACGAGTTCCGGCTAGGACTTCAGAGGATAGTTGCTAGACATTACTATTCGACACTTTCTAAAGAACGGAAAAAACGTAAAAAAATGGCTGTTTTGGCAATATGACAACTAGCATATTACTTGCTCTTAAAAAATTTATTCTTGTTCCTGAGTAGAAAACTATGGTATCTCATTTCTTCAATTTTACAAATCCTGACCAGACAAAATCTAAATTAGATTCCTTAGATTTTTTGTGGCGGTTAAGCGCAAAGCCGCAAACGACCTCGGGTTCTTTGATGTGAAGAGGTATGGGACTTTTCGAACCTATGCAAAGCATTTCAGATCGACGGCAATCAATACAAGAGTAATAATTTAGATATGATACGAGTTGCGAGAGGGAAAACTCAAAATTGTCTGACTCACAAATTATGGAATATTCCGATCTCCCTCGTCGTTCCACTCCAATGATTCCAAGTGGTAGAAAAAGCGAAACCACTGAAATAGGTATTGTGTTGTAATTTAAGTTCATGTTTTTTCAGAATATAAGGCTGACAAAAGCCGGTGTACGTGTGTTTGACTCAGTCGGCTTTGTGACCACAAAATCTTGGCATATCCGGTTGTTAATCCAAGTTTTCCATAATTCCCGAATGGTAGTTGGAAACTCTCTAGGAGTACGGTCGAAAAACCTGAGCCAGCACATATCGAATTAATTGAAAAGAAGAGGAAGGATAACCAAGGGACGGGCTTTCCTCTCCCTTCAGTCTGCTTTACGATTCCCTCGATCTTATTATACTTCCTGGATTATTCTTTTAAGACCCCGCGAAAAATTTCCTCGCCTCCGATAGGAGGCTTCGTATCACAGTTGGAAGTGGGGCTCAACAAGTATCTCGGAAACACGGGTTCAAACTGCGTCAGATCTTTTTTCGCAATTTCTTTAATGGCAGATAATTGTTACAACCAGTTTTTAATTCTCATCGTGGTTTAAATATGATTTGTTTCATTAATTTGAGAGAAACTTTTTTTCTCAGAGCAACAAGCAATACTGGAGTTGAATGACTCTTGTACAAACTAATTAAGCGGACTTAGAAATTTCTCCAATGGCGAGATTTATAAAAGGGAAGTCAGTCATAATGTTATGTTGAGCCATCCGGGATTCTCTATCATTTCAAATCACAGTAAGTACCTCTCCACTCTTCCACTATTCTCTCACGAGGGACCCAGATTTTTTTTCTACGTCCCATCTTTCTCGACTCCATTGGTTTTACACCGAACAGATACCTGAAGTATGGTCTCGTACACGATCCTGAGCAAGGACATCGAGACTCAAGTCAAATGTATTATTTTTCTGCTACGACTTAAAAACACTTTTTTACCCGGCTAAGAACGGGAGAATTGATTGAGTCGATGAATGATTTCTGAGTCAAGGGTCACCTGGTGTGTTCAAAAGTACTGAAGGGTCAACAATGCCCTTGAATGCTGAATGACGACCTTGAATCTAATGCGTTTTTAAAGATATAGTTCAAGTCATATTCCATGCGTGATAATAATTCCGATTTATCGAGAAGACACGCACCAACACCACAAGAGGTCTGGGAAGGCGCGTGGCTGGCGAGAATGATTATATCACCTCCTCGGTCAGTCATACTAAATATCCAGATAAAAGGGAAGGTTAAAAAAGGGAAAAAAATCAATCATAGATGTCGCAACTCAACCCACTCTTAATTATGCTCACAAAAAAAAGAACTTTTTCAAGTCATTTTTCATTTGACAGCCGTTAGCTGCGGTTTGTTCGCAATTCGGCGTTTCACTGCGCGGCCTTTTTGACCTTCAGATAAAAAAATATTCGGCGAGTTAAAATCAAAATACATCATGGCATGTCGCTGCCGGGAATGACAATAACAAAAATAGAAACGCTTAAGGGTCCCATTCAGTAACTCTTGTGTAGGTTTATCATTATTCTTGGGCACCTTCCAATTTCTTTCTCGTCGGCAAACAATTGCAGAGGTCGAAGTTCCCCATATTACTAGTTAGTGGTAAGGTCAACCATTTTTATTCATTAAAATTGTTGGGGCCTTCAATGGAAGTAATGAAATTAGAAAACACTACGGAATATTTTTTTTCTTTTAAGATCGGGGAAGTTGAGTGTGCGACTCTTTGGCTACTAACTGCACCTTTGGGGGAAGGACATAGATTTAATCGGGGTGGGGCGAACTAAATAATCCTCAAAACACTTTTCATAATCTTGAATGATTATCCCACGTTAAATACGCTTTAATTTTTTGGGAATAGTTTAAATATAACATCATTTTTAAACACCTATTTCCTCCTTCGCTAAGGGCGGAATTCTGAATAGTTTTGGCGGTAAGCAGAAATACGCCCCCGTGTTCTCACAAATGCTTTGATCTCGCGCACACAGAAAATTGAGAAAACAATAACACTTGTTTCCGACAGTGTCCCAACTATTATTTTTACAGAAACAGTTTCTTTCGAAATAAAAATAGAGATACTTTCCCGTTTGGGCTTTGAAGTAACTTGCCCCGTAACTATCACGTTTTAACATCTAAAGAAAATAGTAAAAAAATCGTGAACGTGTGTTCTTTGTCGAAATTCAAGACGGTCAAATGACATGTCTGAGGTCGTTCAAAATAGCATTTGTGTTTGCTCCGAATATCAAGTTTTCAACATGAGTGCTTACTATTTTTTCCATCGCTGTAACAGGCTAACCTTATGCTTTGTAAAAATAATGTATGATCATACTGAATCCAAATGGATGAACACCTTTCGTTGAAACAACGAATAATCGGAGCTGAGTAGACATAAAAAGGTGGGATTATTCGCAAAATCGATTCTTTTCTTGACATCTGGTTTTTGCCAGAGAATTAAGTGAATGTGATGGAATTTCAGTAACTTAGGCATTAGACACGGAGGATAACCACCTTCATTTTTTGTCTTTTATTTCGTTTGAATATCGCTCGTACTTCCTGATCTTGCGCGAACGCAAAGCCGCTCTCTTGAATTCATTTACAGTTCGTCCTGATAATATGGCCGATGAAAGATGCTTTTCGAAATCCTGTAATTCACCGCCCGATGAAGCCAAACCAAGCAACAACAATCACTCACCCCAATTGATTGACACCTCGTTAATAAAAGGAGCGAAAATGATAACAAAGAATTATGGCGTAATTGTTTTACCAGTACGCTTGTTGTCATTTCAGTTTGTTTAACAATGTCAATTAAGGACACATCTAGCACCCTGCAATTTGGTTGTTTGCGCAGAAACACTCCCCTCAAGAACGCTGCGCCCAGCTGAGGGGAGTCGCTTATCATGAGTTATTCTCGTGAAAATCTCCTTTCCTATCTTGCCATCTATGGCTAATGACCTTCTCTCGAGCGTTAGTTAGGTCATACTACCCGATGATGTGAAATTTTAACAGCCGCGATGCCACCTAAAGAACAGATTGCGTTTTATGGCTCTTAAGTCTCACGTGCAAAAACAACAGCATTGCCCACGGATCAAATGATGGCAATTTACACAGCGTGATTATGCGGTCGCCCTGTTGCGTTCTTAACAGGATAAAGGACATGAGATCATCCTTGACCCGCTCGAAGATTCTTGATTTCATTTATTCGTCGCATCCGAAAATAGCGCTTTAGTGGCCAAATCGCGCTATAAACAAACCCAAATTTTCACGTCTTCGTAATTCCACTGCAATCTTCTTCAGACTATCCACTCGACTGTTTGTCCGCGTGGTTGACAGTTATTGTTTTCGTAATGACTATGATGAATGACAGCAGGACATAATTCGAGAGCAAAACCCAAGATACTGGAAATTCCGCCTTTAGACAAGCGCACAGGCTCGGCTCATCACACGGTTTGCGTATCTTTCGCGTCTAAATTCGCGTGGTAAACACCGTTAGACGCGTAGCCTTTGGACTGCATATTATAAACCGGTCAACAGCCGGTTTATCATTAGATGGACCTCTCCGGGTTGCTGTCTCCTAAGGCGAACGCGTTCTCAATTGCACATTTGATAGACGCTTCACAGTTCCCTGAGTTTATGAACATCAACAACCGACAGACACAATCTCCAATTATGTTCAACTGGGGATCCTTCAAGCTTACGAAAGATATGGAAGGTGAGAGAGAAGATATTTCAGCACCTCATAGGTGACTGATATTACTTACACCTTGGTTTTTTCGCTTCATTGTTTTAGAGAGGCTACGTAATGCAGGAACGGGGAAAAAGGTAGCTTTTCGGCAGAACTCCACAACGATTAACAGCGACGCGACAAGAACGGCGTCCGATTTTCGAAGAGTCGACGAACGATGTTCTTCCTCGTCTACCCCTCCAAGCAGTCCGCTGTCTTGTTCTTTAGCAAACGTGAAAGTAGAAATAGAGATGAAGAATTTATGGGACGATTTCTACGCTTTGGGCACAGAGATGATTGTCACAAAAGCTGGAAGGTTAGAGATTAAGTTCTTCCGATTTTAATACCTAATAAATGGTCTTGGTGAGCAAAATGTGGCGAGCCTTACAAATGAAATGAGACCCTTTCGAATAGTAGGGAACATGCGCTCTAATGGAAACGTTAAACAACGAAACATATGTTGGAGAATCTCCACGCTAAATGCTGACAATGATTGGAGGTTAAAAAAGGCCGATCATAAATTATTCGCAAATTGTGCGAAAATTGTCAGGCGTTATCTCGGTGGACGATATCGTAAGAGGAAATCACTCATTACTGGCGTGTATGCTAGTAAAGCCAAAAAATAACATTGCCATGAATCCGTTTACTTTCAGTGAATGAGTCTGTTTATGCCATTAGCCGGGTAAAATGTTTTTGATTTCCTAATCAGGGTTATCACAACAACGACCCATTATGGTTCATTCTTTTGTGTTGCCATGTTTTGTTTTCTCTATGAACAAACGCGATTTGTAGGCCACGAACGCGTGTGGCCAGCATTTGAAACAGCAAGCACATTATCTGCCAACATTTTTCCCAACAAAATTCGAAATGAAAAGAAAACTCTATTATCTCGAGAGGGACAGGAAGTAACATGAATGCTAAGCTAATTAAAGGTCGTAAGATTACACGAATAACAGAAGAACAGAAGTTTGAGCTGATAGTGTGGAAAAGTGCTACGCACTATTTCAATGAGGTCCTTGTTAGTTTAGCTTCAATTTGCTTTAAATGCCAACGGTATTATCTGTTACATTTGGGTCTTGCAAAGTAAACCTTGTGTAGACAATTGTCATGGATCGGTTGTAGACTTTTTAGATTAGCCTCAGGGCTAATTATTACTAGAATTTATCGTCGAGACCTGCTTGACAATTATTTCTCATTCTCCACAAATCAGAAGTTTCGAAAACTTTCATACTCCCGTCAGAACTCTAACAAATTTTCGCGTTAATATAGTCTCGCCTTGTTTGGAAATTCTGTTCTCTTTTTCTGTCCTTTCTGCGGTTTTCAAACGGAAAGACCCCCAATTTCGGCGTTTTATTGTCGAAGAATTAAAGTGGTTAATTGCCTTCTAAGGAGATTTATCCCGTTCTCTTGGCAAACTTTCAGTCACTCAAATAAACATAACTCTTTTTTTAAAAAGTTGTCTCTTAAGCTATAATGACTGTTTGTTTGTACAAAAATTATTTGCTCAAAATTTTTGGAAAAGCAAAGGCGACCAAAGTTTACTTAAGTTATTGTCGAGAAAGAAAGTCAAATACTTTCGGTTACTCACAAGAAAGTAATCTAATAATGGCCTTGAATTCGACTCACACAGGGGTTGCCTCTGTTCTCCTTTTAGATTTCCATTCTTTGATTAGAAAGGGTGAAAACATCATAAGAATTCAATTTAACTGGCCGTCTAAGGTCTTCAGTTGCCGGAAAAAACAAACGCCTTGTTTGATAATATCACGTTTCAACAAAAATTACAAGCCCTCAGCTTAAGACCGAGTGCCTAAGAATTCCTTCTAAGGTCCTTCCCTTCTCATTAAGGTCATTATGAACTACTGTGTGTTCAAGGCACAATTCTCTCGGCCATAAATAAGGCCTGTGAAAGAGCTCGTACAAATACAGGACCAAATGGGGGCGAGTTTGGACGTAGGGATCCTTCCTAAGACGGACTTTTTTGGAAGAGGAATCGGTGTTACATTATTTCATCTTTTTTTCTTTTGCAATGAAGTTCATTTTGCATAAAGCTGTTGATGGATTGACCTTTAGCTTAGTTGGGAATTCTACAGAAATGCAAGAGAAATCAGCATCGAAGAAAGTTAACCTTTTGAATTGAAGTGATTAGCGTGTGACTTCTCCAAATAAACTCAATATGTTATCCAGGAAAAATGTGATGAGAATTGACAGAGATTTTTTTTCTCGTTTCTGCTTTCTCGTTCTTAATCAAACATAGCACACACTAAAACCAATATCGATCGTTAAAGATTGGCTTTGACAAGGGCGTCATCTTGTCATAGATTAACTACTGTACCCTCGCTCGTTAGTTACCCTGAACAGCACTTTGTTTTCTTTGGAGCAAGTGAGTCAGCATTTTCAACTATGATTACCCTGAGAGTTGTTTTCCGGTGGAGTATGCCTGAAAATAGATGGCAGTTGACTATGATTAATTAATGTTCTCGTCAGTGTCTCGGTCTTTGTATTTCAAAGAGGAAATCCACTGATTTTGCTCAAACGTTGAAGTAATCTTAAGCCAAATCAAGTCCTGAGGTGTGACCTATTTCATTTGGTGATTCGAGATATTTGATTTGCTGACTAACGTCGCTCATGCAGTTTTCCTAGTTTGGATTGAAGATGGATTCTTTGAGTTAGAAGTGAAGAGGCGATGATATTCAAGATCTGTTTAAGATCCATCTTTCTGAAGGCGAACATGACGCCACTTTTGCAACTTTGGTAAAAATATTTATGTTTGTTTGTTTGTCTGTAGGGGTCAAGAAAAACCAGACAGCTACATTACTTTGTCATTACCGAGGAAATTTAGTGAAAAAAATTTTAGACAATTCTTTAACGTTCGTCTGTCACGTATTGTCTTTGGGGAAGTTGTATCTTCCGTAATGGCTAATATCTTATTTTGCTGTGTAAAGTTGCCGCAGAATTTTCACAGTTCAAAACACGACTGTAATATTCTGTAAGAGAACTTCTGAGAAGAACTTAGAAGCAGCAGCTACCCAAATGTAGTGTTCGGAAAGTTGGTGCTCGATTCACGAAAAAGAGGACGCCTCGCACCCACTTGGCAACACCTTCGGACAAAATTACCGGCTAAGACTACTTAGGTAAAAGCGGAAATGGTATTACAAGTTACGAGAATGTAAAGAAAACAAAAACAAATTTGATTAGTACCTCCCTGAGACTTTCCGTGTTTCCACAAAAAGAGTCGTCATTTTTTGTTTACTTTCCCTACTACAATGTAACCTCAGATGCAGATTACACAATAAGTGTCGAGGGAGCCAACAGAAAATATTGGTTTAGTCATCGAACACTTTACATAACAGAAAAGAACCTCCCAAAGCGCCAAGTGGTTGGCCACCTTAGTTGCGGGATTCCATCATACACCGAAATCAGGTGTATGAAACGAAATCGAGTCATCCAAATCCAAGATGGATTCAGTACCTTTTATTTTTGCATGAGCGCATCAACTTGAAACCTCGCGTGTCTGACTTTCCAGTTTCGTTTCAGTTCTGTCTCATCTCGAACAACTCAGAAGACATTCCTTTCGTAGAATGGGAACTTCAGCGTTAGGTGTCAACAAGAGGGAGAAATACTCAAACAATCGTCTTGTACTCCAATAAACACCGCCTTTAAATTATTACGAAGTTCGATACAGAAAAAGAAATATTATAGCACATAAGTGGATCTCGGGTTACTCTTGGACAGTTTTCGAACCAATTGATAAAGATTTTGTGGCATGAAATTTAAGCGTAGTGAGCCTAACATATAGTGGCACTAGGGTCCATTCACAGCCAACATCATTGAGACAGTCCTTTCAACCAACTTGGACTACATAGTAACCTATGACAATACTCAGTGTGAAAGTAAGAGTTCCAAGAGCTTTGTCTTCATATTGCGTCATAAGTTTGAACATGGCAAAACTCATTTAAGGCTTTCATTTAAAAAAAAAATGACATGTTTCCTTCAAGGCTTTGATTTGGGAGCCACCCTGTACAGCAAGATAACCTTTGCGACTGAATCAATTCGGACAGAGAACATGAAACAGCCGAGGAAATTTAAAACTGCAAACTTATCATCCCCTCCCTCTTTCATCATTCCTTGCCAGGCGCATGTTTCCGCCGTTCCAAGTGCGCTTACAAGGTTTGGACCCCACGGCTAAGTATATCCTAATGATGGACTTCATACCAGTGGACGATAAACGCTATCGGTACGCGTTTCACAGTTCTAAGTGGCTGGTGGCAGGCAAAGCAGACGCCAGTGTACCCGGGAGGGTACACATTCACCCTGACTCACCCTGTACTGGACAGCAATGGATGAAACAAGTCGTTTCGTTCGACAAACTTAAACTCACTAATAATCTGATGGATGACAATGGACATGTAAGAAGATATGAACATTATAAGTATATGTTTTGCTGACGAAATTTTGAGGTTTGAATCATTGTTTAAGAGAGCTGGTCGCCACAGACGGAAATACGGCGGATTCGTAGCTTTGTACTTTTAATATCCATGATTGCAGCGTTTCTGGAAAGATAATTATAAGATGGAATAATTTCTCGTTCAAAATTCTGGGTCTATAAAGTATCACATATCACTTAAGCAGGCGCCTAACACCGACATTTTTTTAGAGGAAGGTTACATGAATGTTCAGGATGTCTTTTTTAACCAAGATTTTGTATGAGATGCTGGTTGTGTACTAAGCCTACAATCATCTTTGGACTCTAATGTCTCAAATCAAAGTTTTATTCTTCGCCACTGATCAATTTTGACTTTTGTGTGAACTGGGAGAGGCAAGAGATATCATTTCTTGGTATGTTAATGACTATGGTAATCTTGATAATAAAACTGATAATAGTAATAATAATGATGACGAAGATTATAAATCAAGATTATAATGTTGATAGTAAACATAATGATGTAGTTAATTTTTGATGATCATGCCGATGGTGTGATAGATGATATTCTACATCTCTCTGTTATTTCAGATTATACTCAACTCTATGCACAAGTATCAACCACGTTTTCACGTCGTCCTTGATAACCAAGAGAAGAGTACCATGATCAGCGCCCTGGGAGCGAGCACAGAACACGTTAAAACATTTCTGTTTCCAGAAACACAATTCATGGCTGTGACCGCGTACCAGAATCATATGGTATGTAGATTACAAATTTATTTCTCTTGATAACTGATGAAGATTCCCTCTTTTTCATTCCTGAAATGTTCTATAGGGACAAGGAGCGGTTTTTATCCCCTAATAAATACCGGAAATGTCAGTGATCGTCGAAAATTAATTTCTTTTCTTAATCGACTTCACACAAACCTTACTGTAATCTTGACGTCCCTTCCGAGGTCCAAAACCTACGTGCGTCGACAACATTGTAAGGCCAATAATGACTATGATCATTAATTGTTAATGCTTCTCCGCATAAGAGATGAAAGGAAACTGCATGGCACTATGTGACGTTTTTTCAATCTGTCAGCAAAACACCGTTCAAGTTACCAACAAACGTGGCTCCACGTTAATACTGCTGCGCTCCTCTCTTAGGCATAGGCATATGTAATCTCTTGTTCTTAACAATAATAATGATAATTTATTACTTATATAGCGCAAAATACATGTGGATATGATCTAATGCGCTAAGTGAAACCATACCTTGACTTTAAATGACTGATAAAAAAGCGTAGCACTAATATAGAATTATTCACTGCGGTGAATCGTTTCTCTAGTGTCTTCTACGACTATTTTGAGAGCAAAACGCTTAAACTGACAACAAAATTGATACATATATATTTTTCTCCATCTAATTTGTAATCCTTCAACTTTAATTGTAGCAGGGCCAAAAGATAAAGTCTTATGCCACAAGAGGTTTTTGTTGTTACCCTTCGTTATTCACCCTTAGTGCATCTGTTCTCTTTTGCCTATCTTAAAGAGGGAGCATTTTTTATGTGCTGGAAGGTTTAAAGCAGCCGAAATATTTCGATTTAAGCGGGAAATTAGAATCGACGTTGAGAAAGTGCTGAACAGGTGTTTGTTGCATATACATACTAATTATAGTTCGTATCTGTTTTCTTAACCAGATAACGCAATTAAAGATAGCGAGCAATCCATTTGCTAAAGGATTTCGTGACTGTGATCCGGACGATTGGTATGTTTTAAAAACAATTGGTTTTTCCCAGCCTTCCTCCCTAGTGGAGAGGGTAGGGAGACACTCCCTAAGCACGATGTTACGTTTGTCCTTCGCAGTTGGAGCGTAATTTAAGTTGTAAAGGTGTACAGTAAAAGATAAACTGTTCTGTTTAGGTCAAGAGTAAGCAGATAAATTCCATATGTGGTCAATTCTTCTGCCTTCTTAATTTACATCTTACACAGATAAAGACACGACACGGAATCGCCATTTTTTTCTCCCTTCTGTGTTTGCCTCTAGCCCTTTCATGTGGCATTAGTAAATCTCTTTCTTTAGGTGAATGTAAAAATGACTCAAGAGCATTATCGAATAATTCTGTTCATTTGTAAGGAATTACTTCTTGAGAATTTCTTCAGGTTTATGGAGTCAACCCCACCAGCGCCATAAGCGAAGTTTGCCGCTTTTATCTTCGGGCGCTCTTTTTGGACAGCTGAACGATTGGGCACTGAGACGCAAATTTCATCTTCTCTCTGCAGTGTAGTGGAAGTCATAAAACAAATAGAGCCAGGATCAGTAATGCCTACAGCGAAGCCTCGACTTCAAAGTGAAGTGTACCCTCCGAAGTCATGTAATTCTAACCGAGAAGGGGGCGACAGTGTAACAGGTTATTAGTCATCTTTGTATATGTTTTTAACTGCTCTATGAGCTGATGGTAAAGTTATCTGTGTTTTGTTGAGATTTTAACCATGCTGTCTTTTAAATTTTTTCAATTTCATTTTTCCAAAATTATTTTCTCAGTTATGTTGCCAGTTTTTAAGCTTATGAAGATCATAAAATTTACTGAACTTTAAACACAACCCAAACATCCATTCTCTTCAATTACCCTATCGTAGGAATGGACTGTCATCTAACTAGAATAAGGAAGATGGTTTTGTTAAATTCTACCCGCGTTTTCAATCCTTAACTTTAAGAACTTCAATTTGAAACTGAACTATTGGTAAAAATGACAAAGAAATCAAAATAAACTTGGCAACTACCAGGATAGCTTTAATTTGTCAAAACGGAATTCGATTTTACACGATGTAAAAGTAAAAGACGTTTCACAATTTATTGTCTCCTTTTAAATGGCGCTCTCACTCCACAGAACCCCAAATTTTTAAAGATGAAAGGATAAAAGACTTTCTTAGTGGCCCAGATGAATCATTTTTCTTTCTTTTCATTCCAGGGACAATATCAAATGTGACCACACCTCTGGTTCCCATGAACCGTGTTCTTCCCTCTCTCACAGTCCCCTCCATTACGGTCCCGGCTTGCACACCCATCATGAGTCCAACTATTACGTCACCGCTATTCCATCCACACCCTACCTCCCCTGGAGCAACTACGGCTGTGTACCGAGGCTTCCCGTCTTTACGTGATCACCGTAGTATGCCTTATCCCACACAGTATCTTAGGTACAATTCAGGACAGCAAAATGATGTACCTGGATATCAATCGCCACCAGGAACCATTTCCAGTCAATGATAAAACGCTGACCAAATGAGGACCCACAAGAAATTTTTTATAACTGAAAAAGCAGTCTATGGACAGCCTTAGGGGCAAGTTTACTTACACTGCTTGGAACTCCACTGACCTCTGGGAGGTATAAGAATGCCGGCTTAGAACTCGCATCGTCCGAATATTACTTAAGAGGCAAAAACAGAGTTCGTTTCTTTGTCTTGACGAAAAAATTTAAAAGAAAATTCCTAAATAAAAATATTTTTCTTCCATTTAACAGAATGAAAATAATTATTTAAGTGCATTTTTTTAAATCAGATTTTGTTCATACATTGTATGAAACTTAAAATTTATGTCAGATTATTTCATTCAATAATTCTCCATTTTGACTCAGTCTTCTTTGTATTCGTTTTGTTCATGTGAAGTCCTTAGTACGTACAACGAAAGTTTTGCCTCTGGTTGCTCACTTGAGTTTCATCTGTCAATGTTACAATGAAAAGGGCAACTCGATGCCTCCATTTAATACGTTCACGAACTAAGTTGAACGATAATCATAAAACACATGAAAAAAAAGAGAACACACTTTTCGCTTGTTTGCTCAGGGTCTTTACCAAAAGGAAGTTTTCGGAGTTTTAATCCAAACCAAAAACGGAGCTTTTCGATAACTCCCTCTTGAAGGGAGACAACGGCGACATACTGTGGATTTGGGAAACTGTGGTCTTTCGAAAACTTTGTCGTCAAACGGTCACGAGATCTGTCACTGTCACCTTGATTCATTTATTACTGTTTTAAAACTATTATGGACCGAACACTTTTAAATGTTAGCTGTTTAATCTTAATTAAAAAATTAGCCAGATGAGTGCGAGTATGAGCTGTTCTTGATCGATAATCAAATACAATTAGCCTCAGACCATAGGAATTTTCAACCATGTGAGACAGAGGGAAACACAAGCATCTAACTACTTCTCCCCCTGGTTAGGGAGAGAAGGTCGATTGTTTCACGGCATTCGGGGGACACCAGAAGGTCGAAGGGCGAGAAGGAGACTAGAGACCACTTGGAGAAGGACTGTCAAAAGAGGTGGACTGGAAGAGCTGGAATGTGGCCAAGACGGCGGCACGCGCGTCGGGGGGTCGGGCGGACAATAGGACGGCCTTATGCGCCTACAGCGGGCGCAACGAGCGATGATGATGATTCCCCATTCACGAGTAGAGCAGTACAAGTAGAGCGCGCTATGCCTCGCTGACACATAGGATGAAGGTGATGACATTCACATTTGGAATTCTTGGTCCTATGAGGTTCCAGACCAACCTCGTTCATTTCAACGTTGTCACCCTCTTACTAGAATAGCTTTGTATCTACTTCTCTTCAACCTTTCTTTGTAAGGTAGAACCATTGGGGGATACTCAAAAAAGTTGTGCTTTGATGTAATCGAGGCGTATTTGATCAATGTATTTGTTTTCACCATCTCGCTGTCATTCGCAAGAGAAAGCTCATTTGAAGAGTTTCCACGATGAACCCCTGAGAAGCATAAGTTGGGGTGGGGAAAATCTGTTTGGGTAAATGAAATGTTTACCCATTTCCTTCATTG